GGGCGTTACATCAATATGTAGTTGGTGCACCTCTAGAAAGAGTCGCGTTTGATATACTAGGGCCTTTGGTTGAAACAAAAAATCAAAATAAATATGTACTAGTCATAGGGGACTACTTCACAAAATGGAAGGAATGTTATGCAATGAAAGATCAAACAGCTTCGACTGTTGCTAAATTGTTTGTGGACGAATTTGTAACAAGATTTGGAACACCTCGCGAACTTCATAGCGATCAAGGCAGAAATTTTGAATCTGATATCATGAAAGACATATATGAAATTCTTGGCATTAAAAAGACACGAACAACTCCGTGGCACCCTAGAAGTGACGGTATGATAGAGAGGCATAATAGAACATTCATTGAAATGCTTTCTAAATACATTGATTCGAATCAAGATACATGGGACGAATGTTTGCCGTTGATTAGTATGGCTTACCGTTCTTCAATCCATGAATCTACCGGAGAATCACCGGCTGCTATGATGTTAGGTAGAGAGTTAGAACTACCACTAGATGTCGTTACTGATCCTCCAAGAGTAGAAGAAGATAATGAGTTAAAAACTGATTATGTAGAAGTGTTGAGACAAAATTTCCGTGACTCGTACAACCATGCAAGAGTTTGTTTAAAAAAAGCTCACGTTAGGCAAAAACGTCAGCATAACGCGCGTTTATCTGCAACTGTGTATAAGAAATACGATGTCGTATGGATGTATAATCCAACAAGAGTAAAAGGGAAAAGTTTCAAACTGATGTGTCATTGGACAGGACCCTATATGGTTGTTAAAAAGATATCAGATGTCGTGTATAAAATACAACAGACAGCAAGGTCAAAACCGAGAATTATACATCATGATAAGTTGAAACGTTACCATGGTGAAGAGTTTAAAACCTGGGAAATTCATGAAAAGGGAATAGACGAGTGTGTTGAATTCAGTGATGCAAACACTCAGACGTCATTTGTTGAAGAAATGAAATCTTCAACTGAAGAGTTAAATGAAGAAGAGCAACAAACAGAAAATGAGGTTGAAACCTACAAAAATGACGAAGATAGTGAAATAAATGGGTTAGATAAACATGTCAGTCTTCAGGAAGAAAAAGACTCAAATAGCGACACCACGGTTTCTACTAAAAATCAAAATGAAGATAAGAAACCATCAAATGGTGTATTGAGGCGAAATGCAAGAAATAGAAGAGCGCCTACAAGATACGGATGGGACTAATTGATTAATTAGTCGAAAATGTAAATAATGTATATACATATAAAAAGGAGATAGTTAGTTAAATGGATGACAACGTTGTTTACCTCATGATTATTTAAAAGAAAAACAAACAACAACAAAAAGTAAATAAAAATCATCAACGCATACCTTAAAAGATCTTTTATTTCAAACTCTCAATGGAATTGCATATAGGTATATTTTAATGGCTAGTGGATGAAAACATAACTTGCAAAAGGAATTGTTAAGGGGAGGTACAGCCTTTTAAGTATGAAAACAGGACCATTCTGTAGTATTGGATAAGTTTTCGAACAATTTTCTTTTATCAATTAAACATAAAGAGTCAAATATCAAAATTGACATAATTGCAAGTTTTTGTGAATGCCGTGATTATCCGTTTTTGTGATATGTGGTGACCCGGGCAATAAAGAGTAAACAATTAGAATTAAAAAATTAGAAGTAAGCAAATAACAAAAAGACTGAAGAGTAACTTGTAAAATGAGATTTCTGAAGGCAATTTATGTTTTACAGTAATTAAACGTGTGCTTGTCGAAAATACACATATATCGTTTTATCTGGTTTTATTAAGAGATATGAAATTCCATGAAAATGGAGGGGGTAGTTTGTAATGCGAAATTATGATGGAATTTCATATTCCATTCGTGTAGTAAAACCTGGCAGTTATATGGTACTTAAATGATGAAACGTGAAGTCGGTTTCTTGTCATGCGTTCTTGGATATTGCATCTAAGTTGATAAGTTAGCTAGACGAAGAGAATTCATTGTTGTTAAGTTATGAGATTTGAACTGGGCTTCTTGTCATGTGTTCTTGGATATTGCATCTAAGTTGATAAGTTAGCTAGAAGAAAAGTTCAATGTTGTTTTAGATGAGGTTGTGTGGTTGTTACTTATTCTTGGATATCGCATCTAAGTTGAATCATAGGTAACAAATGATCCACATGTAAAGCAGTGGGGTAGAATAACTGGTATTTATCCTTGGATATCGCATCTAAGTTGAATCATAGGTATCAGTTAGCCCACGTGCATTAACAGTAATATTAGTTGGAATTTTATAATGGTATTAGAACAGAATTAGTGCAGTTTTGTTTTTGAACTCGGACTTCTAGAATCTAAATTTAAAATGATTTTGCTATTAACTTAAAGAGGAATCAAATGGCTTTTAATTTTAAATATAACTTACAGTGAGCAAGTTGTATCTTTTGAGAATGCGAAAAGCATAAAAAGTATATGGCACGTTCTGCTGTTTGTGTATTGTGCAAATTGCATCATAAGATTATGATGATTTTAGTCTATCAAGAAACATATTCCTGCTAAATGGGATTATATTATCTTTGGGATATCTTGTCTTTAAGTTTCTAATTTTGTTTTCCATAGTTTAATTCCATACTAATGGTTACGCAAAACTATTTATTGTGAAGACGTCCACACATGTAAATGTGACACGCTTGTCTGCCTGCCTTATTGTGACACTAAGGAAGTGTCATTGCAAAAAGAGACGTGTCAGTAAGACAGTAAACGTAAACAGTCTAGGTTGCAAATTGCTTGATTGCGCAATACAAAGTAATAACCGTGAGAATATGATTTTATGGCAGTCAAATCTATTAAGGTAAATACTAATAAGGTGCGTTGATGTCCTATATTCTTTGTTTTAATCCAATTTAGCATAGATTAAGGCCTGATGAAAAGATTTATTTAATCTTGGCAGTGTCTTAAGAATTATGTTTCATTTTACAAAGTGGCATATTACCCATTGGTATTACTTATCACTATTGTTTCTGCTTTTACGCAGAAGATGTTAACATTTATGTGTTAAGATTAAAAAAAGTGTATTTGAAACAAAACATGGGAAGAAAGTAGTATTTTTATTCCTTTGTGATTCACCTAATTACATCATAGGTAATCATATTAAGTCATATTTGTGTTGTTGTTAAGCATTGATCACGTTTGACTCGCACAATGTCAAATTATATTTTAACTGGTCCACTCTTTGTAAGCAATTTGCATCAATTACGTATATGTCTAGTGAATAAGAGAAAGAACGTTAGATGAAGATTCTAGGGTATATGCAAAGTGGGTTTAAAGAAAACTACAACCAGACTTAATAAATTTTATGTAAAGTGAATTGCCCGGGATCACAAGTTAAAGACTCAAAATTTAGTCTTTAAAAAGAAAAGTTAAAACAGAGAGTTGAAAGACATTCATTTATGAAAGAAGAGTCAAGTGAAAAGTTTGTATGTTGAAGAGATGGAAAGACTAGTTACTTGTCAATGAAGAGAAATTGATGTCTTGAAGAAAATTAAATTCATGAAGAGTTTAGAACACGAAGAAGACTTGTTTATGTCACATAGAAAAGCAAGTTAAAGACATGTTAATAAAAAATGTTTCTTAAAGACACTTTTGGAGAAGTTTTTGAGAATTAAAAAATTAATTGCCCGGGATCCCAGTAAGCGATTTCCTATGACGACCTGAAGTAGATGACGACTACCTAACCGTGAAGAAGCGATGAAGATGACCTGTGAAGGCGATGCCTATGTCTTATGGAGATGCAGACGACGCGGATTTCGGATGGAGTGGAGCCACAGAGGATTTCGACAACTGATGAAGGAGCTGAAGATGTACGATCTCCTGTTATTATGAACAATTCTTTTCTCCAACGAAAACGTTTATTATGAACACTGCTACAAGGAAATGGATATTTTATTATGGATTCTTCAGCGAGGATACGGACATATTCGATAATGGACACGATGCGGACGTGCATGTGAAATACGGATTATGGATATTATTTCGACTACTAAGACGGTGCATATTTTGGATTCGAAAATATTACATCGTGGACTAGATGCACGTATTACAGCATCGCATTGGATCCAGGACTAGATACGCGGATTATAAAATCGGAACTTATTATGGTTTATTATAACGACGTTTATCAACAGGAACTACGTATGAAGCAAGGATATTTGCACGAACTCTGCGTGGATATTTCATATGGATATTGGATATGGATATGGATTATACACGAACTATGTATGCGGCACTGTGTTAGTAAACATTCATATAGGACATTGTTAAAATATCATATACATTTATTTAGATTTTGCGTATTTTCAGTTTTTTTAGTACGTACAATGTCAGGAGAATTGTCATTTTATTTGGGTGGGGGTTGTATAGCATTTTTCATGTTGATTCACCGTATTGTGCTGCCATCTTTCAATGGGTTTCTTATAGGTTTTGTAGGGTAAGGGATTGCCTTTCATTTCCTATAACTTGGGGGTATTTAAGAGAAATTTTGGGCTTCATTCAGTAGAGAGTTAGATCGGGGGGAACATCACACATCATTTCTTTTCATCTTATTAATCTCATTTTCATTCTTTCTTTATCTTTGAACAGTTTTATTTTACACTGAAGAGTGTAATTGTACATGTTTAGTCTTTTACTTGGAATAAAGTATAGTTTTATGAGTATATTAATTCTGTGTTAATCTTGTCTTTTTTACATTACAAGACCAATCCATATTATTTTATGAAGAACCCACAGAGCTATTTAAACAACAAAGCTCGAAGCTTCACTTATGTAATTTTTGTTATTATTAAGAATCATTTATTCCTACATATTAACTATACCCTCATTTTGCAGTATAAATTGATATAAACGACAGGATTGGGAAAAGTAATATATTATAGAGGCGTCATGATGTTTTGGATTTACACACATGTTTATATAAATGCAATAATCTAAATTCCAAAGAAACTCATTATAGAAATGGAATGTGGGGAAAATGAAGAATATCTGGCCAATGGTCCGGGATGTGAGAGGAAGTGTTTGGAAAGGGACCAAACATATTGTAATACACCTCCCAGAGAAGGTTGTTTCTGCAAAACTGGATACATTAGGTGTAAAGGAGCGTGTATCATTGGTAAAGGTGCGTCTTTGGAATTGAACAATGATATATTAAATGCATTATGATAGCCGGGGCATTGTCTGTTATACTTCTAAATTCTTAATAAATTAAATATTTTTTCTTGAAACCTTTTTTATACCCTTGACATTTTTCAATATTTTAACAAATCGAAGGATTCTTCCATTTTGAAATGTAATCATTCTATAAATGGCTTGTAGGGTGGGTCAAAAATGATAATGCAAACAAATTAATCTTTCTATCGAATTTCATTGGTCTATACCTAATAGTCACGATTTTATAAAGTCTACACTAACTTACAACCCTTGAAACATTGGAACAAAAGAATTATTCCTAGTCGGGACAGTAAATGTTAAACACAAGAGACTTCAGGGCACTTGGGATAACAGAGTAGGAAAATTACACGGTGACTCGACCAAAACTTATGTTTCAGATTATTGTCCTCCGAGAACTGGCCGTAGATATGGAGGCACCCCAGCACGCATGTGCTGTATGCACAGCACCTGGTATTGGCCTTTTGGTGGGAGTAGCTATTCCAGCCAAGACATTCCCGATGGGGACTTTATAGAACACTGGTGCCCCAAGGGTCAGGTGTTCAAAGTGTTCAGTCACCATGAATGTGGCTGTGTTGAGGGTAATTATTAGAAAGATACACAGTGCAATGGGCCTACAATAATATTGAAAATAATGTTGAGTTATATACCACTAATAAATCAATTAAACAAATATTGGAAATCTGATGGGAGTTTGTAATATGCAAACATACTCGGACAAGCAAGGGGAGAACTGCAAACCAGGTTTTCGGGTTTACGAAAAACAACGACCGCCGACCACCGACCGTCGGCTGACGGTCTTTTACATAAAGATGAAAAAATGCAAAATTAGAAGTAAAACTAAAACTGGGAATCCAATGACTATAGTATCTTTACTAGGTCGTGATTTAAAAACGTATAATTAATCATTTCAAATCACGATGAAAACGTTACATCGTCGTGGTGTGTAATGTCATATTTTTAAGTGATGTTTCAGTTGTTAGAAGACCAATTTCATCCTGGTTAGTCACTTTGGAAAAAAACGCACGTAACATTGCATTAAGTTCATTCATATGAAACGCAATAACAAAAACACACAAACATCGTCGATGTTGACGTCGTAACGTTATGTTTGATTTCTCAGTTGTTAAACGTCAACTGGTAAAAACTACATTTGATATGACAAAAAAAGCTTTCTAATGGTGTACTGAAATGGTAATTCACTTTTAATCCAGATAAGAGAACGCGTGTAATATCGTGTTCAGTATTCAGTAGGCTATGACGATAACAAATCATTTTTGTTTCGAAATTGTTAAATTTCAGTAAAAAATTAGGATAGATTCCCGTAGAAACGATAGGTTGGTTAATGATAGGTTAGGACCTAAGGCAGGACAATTAATCGAGAGGAGACGGTCATGCCCAATTTGTTTGCTTGCCATTCGTTGCAAGGTACAAAATCGGTAAAAACCGTTGCCTAGTCCCAACGATTGACATTCAAAATCAAATCATTAATATTTTCAGGCTACAAATCGTCGCGTGAGAATAACTTTGTACTAACTGCCATTTTCAAAAAAATTGAGATAGACATGGAATTTTACTATTTGAAACACAGGCTTTCATCTCAGATACATGCCCCATCTCAATTCCCTCTCATTAAGCTAGAATTCAGTGTGAAATTGTACCATCTCCAGACAAACAGCTAATTTCTAATTTCAAATTGTCATATCTGATATCAACTGTTTCAACCAATCAACTCTCTAAGAATTGGTCATGTGACTTGCAAAACTTGGAGTTATAACAATCTTATATTAAAACGAATTATGCCAATATGCATGTTATTGTATCTAGAATGAAATAATGTTTTGTAACACAATACCATGCCAGTTTGCATGCCTGGCCTTTCATGTTTTAGTTTTAGAACTATTACAAGTAGATCAAAAAATAAAATGATACAGTATGTGTAATCCCATGCATATTCAAATTATATGCCCTCAATTACTCTTTGTATATATTATGGATGCTCATTGGATTATTCATGGCCACATGATATGAAATAGAATTACTAATTTCCTCGAAAACCCAAATCCTTGCTACCAGGGAAGATGAAAAGTACAAATGACCAGTTAATTAGATCATGTGAGCAGTCAAAAGTGCCCTTTATCTTCCCTGCTACCAGGTCTTATAGGGGTTTGAATGGCCAAATGCAATAAAAATGCATATACGAAGCTGTCATCATTAAATGTTGAAAATGAAAGACTACTTATTTGTTTCTTCAAATAGAGTACATAATAATAGGTTATACGAGGGGTGATCCAAAAGTCTTGGACGCCTCGCTCTAACTTTGCTATTTTCTAATATAATTACATGAAACTTTCAGATAATAAAGATCAACATCTTAACAACTTTGTGTATAAGAAATACACAGTGTATAAGAAATATACAGAAACTAATATAGTTTAGCTACTTTTCTAAATATTTTTTGATACCGGGTCCCTGCCACCCGGAACGGTATTTAAATATAGCAAATCACGTCACAACTGTTATAATATGGCAAATACTTTAGGTGCAGGTGCACAACCTAACACCAGTCATGATATGAGAGCATTTCCGATTTTGAGTCTGAGTGTCATCTGCTATCATCATATTCACATATTAATTCTACTTTTCAACATATTTTCCACGAATTTGAACACATTTTTCATACCGCTTTACCAATGAATGAAAGACATTTATGAAATGGCCATTGCCGATGTGATATAAATTCTGCTGGAGTGCTACTCGAAACCTCATCCAATGAGTACCAAACATTTTCTTTCAACCCTCCTTTCAACTTGGAGAAAAGGAAGAAAATCACAGGGAGCCATATCGATACTGTATTGTGCATATGGTAGCAGCTGAATGTCAATAATAGTGAAACTATATTGTAGTATTCTTTGTTCCACTTTGATTTTTTTCATCTTCTGCATTTCAGCAGCCATCTTGGAGCAAAAATGACACCAGAATGAGAGTTGAATGTCTGATGTCATTTTCTTAGAGCTTGACATATACGGCCATTGCCATATGTGACATTATGATTAAAACACAATTAATTGGTTGCCTAGTAACAAAGGAAGTAAACTAACATGGTTTAACATTCAAAATTTAAGGAAAGATAGTGGTCAAGACTTGCAAAACAAGTCAAATAGCGGCAACATTCAAGGCTGAAAGTTGCCATGTGCGAATGCCGTTCCGGGTGGCAGGGTCACTTTATTAATAACTATCGAGAAAACTACATAAAATATATCATTTCACCATGAAATTGATACACAAAGTAGTTAGGTTGTTGGTCTTTTTTATTGGAAAGTTTAAAGTAATTTTATCAAAAACCAACAAAATTAGAGCAGGGCGTCCAAGACTTTTGGATCACCCCTCGTATACTAGATATAGTAATCAAAACAAATAGTAATTGTCATATTTTGCACTACATTGCTTAAAGGCAATCACTGTCTGTATACTATTGAAATCTCTTTCAAAATGATGTTTTATAGTTTGTGGAAAAAAGCTAAATCTATTTAAACTAGCCTTAACTTTTACTGACCATACACTATATCAATAAGGAGTTATCTTTATGTAAGTATAGTCCCTTAAAACACTTATTCTATTTTCTCTTCATCTATGATTTACTTTGCGCTTTTCACTGAACATCTGGGATCTTTTTAGTTATTTTATTACTAGTATGTTTTTCAGATTTGTTTTTCTTTTGCATTTTTGGGATCATTGTTTTTAGATCATCTACTTTATTTTGGAAAAGTAACAAATTGGTTCAATTTCTTTACAAAGAGCCACTCTTAGTCTCCACTTCTACAATTGCTTCAATTCCCAATTGTACTCCACAGAGTAGCAAACAACAGAAAATGAATGGATAATGATAGCTGCATCCCAATGAACAAAATGTGATTACCTAAATCGAGGTTTCATCACTTTCATTAATCTAAAATGAATTAGAAATTATTTTTCTATTTTCAAATTTCTTCCATGTGCATGTAATAATTAGAGGTTATGTCACTATCGTGGCATATATGCCCGAGGTCTCAGTGATATATGGCCCGACCTTGGGAGGGACATTGATCTCTGAGAACCGAGGGCATATGTGCCACGATAGTGACATAAACGATTTATAACATACCTATGATGATGTAGACTGGTCAGAGAGTACCGTTTTCTTATAGAATTGACAAACAAATGGATTGAAAATGATTGAAATGAGTTTAGAAAAATTGCTCGCACAGTTTTATCTTCGATTGATTGGCTATGACGTCAGCGCCTTGACCAATCAGAAAGTTAGCGGGCGCGGGCTTTTCAAAACTTATATTGGCCCGCTGTCTTGTGTACACTTTGCACTAAACATCATCATAGGTATGTTATAAAAATTGGTTATGTCTTAGGCCCTAAGGATCTGAAACCTGCTGGTCAAAATGGAATTACGGACCAGTTGCAATGTTATTCTCCTATACCCAGTGAAAAAATCAACTGGTCTGTATCAAAAATAACCTGATAATGACCAGCGGACCGGCCCTTAGGGGCTACATTGTAATGTGCTGGGAGGTTTAGGCTACAGGGTTTATACCGAGGAAAATATGTGGGGGACCGTATTGGCATCATTGGTTTCAATGCATTATACTTCTGCCTTAGTTTCAAAGGCAATAAATTCTTTCTGAAGGGTGTCCTGAGATTCCAAAATTAAGAAATAATTGTACTTATTTGAGAAATTGATTTTAAAGTTTTATAAATTGAATTTTCTTTATTTTATTAAATAATATTCTTTGGTTTTTGAAGGTTTTTTTACAAAGCAAAACATTATTTTTCATTCTAGATACAATAACATGCATATTGGCATACTTTGTTTTAATATAAGATTGTTATAACTCCAAGTTTTGCAAGTCACATGACCAATTCTTAGAGAGTTGATCGGTTGAAACAGTTGATATCAGATATGACAATTTGAAATTAGAAATAAGCTGTTATTCCGGTGGGAAATTGTATCAACTCCATTTCCATAGTTTTAAAAAAGGATCTTGTAAATTGTTTCAAGGTATGATATTTCATATAAGATATCTCTAGGGTGAGACCAGGTGACATACAAAAAATCAAGTTTCACATAGCAATACTAAGTAAGATACAGACCTCTAAACTTTCAAACCTTGATTTCTCAGTTCCGTAAAAATGTGAGATAGTACAAAGTTATTCTCATGCGACGAAATATGTTCGGTCTTTTACATGATATGGTCGGTCTTTTACACATTTTCTTCAAACCCTGTTTTGAGGCTACCAGTGGAAAACACCGACCGGTCGGTGGTCGGTGGGGTCGGTCTTTTTCGTAAACCCTGTCAATTAAGCATACATGCTGAAATCAAACCCGGAAATTGGACATATGCTCCGAAATTTGTCAAAATGCACCAAATGATGTTCAATTTTAGAAATCTTTTGAGGGGAAGAACTCCGAGACCCGCCTAGTCTCGCGCTCGTTCGCTACGCTCATTCACGCGGCACGCTTCGCTCACAGTGAATA